GACTGGCATGTGTCAAACTTATGATTCATGGATTCATTTGATCAGCACTGTAAAGAAAAGTATGATGTATTTTCTTTTAAATTACAAATTAGATATTTGCTCCCCATATCCACTGACAGGGGCTTTCACTACTTTATATGCAAAAGGTACCACATAGAATTTAAATACTGGCTTCTCTCTCATGCCCAGCTCTGAAAGTGGAATTTATGTAATATTACAGCACATAAATTAAACCATCCTACGTCCCTGTTCTGTTGTCATGGCAAACCTGTTCGAACTGCTTCCTTTGGTAATAAATGGGCAGAATGTGTTGTCCTTTGGACATTTAAAGGTCTTTTTATTACAGGTTGCTTTCTATTTTACACACTCCATTATCATTTCTTTCAAAGAATTTCTTTAGAATTATGGGTTTGCACTGACATTGATTCATGCATGTTTACTTGTGCACTTGAGCTTACTTACTTGTAAATGTATGTGTGTAATATACAGAGATTGTGTGTGAGATGCTTCTTCTGGAGATAATATTAGCAACAAGGTAATTGGAATCTGTGAGAAAATGCAGTTGTACTTTAGGAAATAAAATATCATTTGGTGTTCTGTAAAGGAAATTTATGGAATTCTGCGAAAAGGGGCAGTATATTTTAATATATTTGGCATAATACTAGACTAAAAAAATCCAAATTTGTCAGTGATCACAAACACTGAGATCATTTTTTAATCACAATTATTCCCATACAGAGAATTCAAAAATCTTGTCTGTTTTAAGAAACAGTTGATCTGTGAGATTCCCAGTTATTGTCTGTCAGAACATGTATGTCTTCATGACCCTTGGCTCAAACACAGGCTCTTGCATTAAGTAGTTAGCCTTTAAAGCCAGCTGCTGACTGCAGGTCCTTAACAGTTACCATTTTGCTTTAAAGAGTCTTAAGTAAAGCAGGAGTACATTTAATGAGTGGTTCAACATGAAAGATATGCTTTTACTACTTATATAAATAGTAAAAAACACTGCAGTTTTCTTTAAAACTCCTACTGTCTACATGCTGTTCTACTGTTGCTGGCTGTTACTCTGTCTTCATTTATGCTTTTAGAGGTTGATAAGATTCAAAACAAGACATTACAGGAGAAAATACAGTATGAGAGCACTTTTATATTGATTTAAGTTTAAAAAATCATTACTTATGGATCCAAAAGGGAATTTTTTTCCTTCACTTTAAAATCTTTTGATTCTCACAACCATATTGGAGTTGGTCATTGAACTTAAATACTTTGCAGTGGTTTTATAGTTATCTGTAGCTATTGTGATTTTTTTTCCCAAATAAATTCCCAAACTGCCTTCCTTGCCATATCTCAAAGCTAAAGATACAGTAGGTATTGCTGCAGGCATCTGTTTGACTATGTTGTGACTTAATGGTTAGGATATTACTAACATGTAATTGTTTTATAAAATTTTAATACCTTATGTATCTCTAGTAATCTATATATGTTGATTTGTATGCAGACCTGATCTTTTAATGTAATTTTTCTAAATAAGCTCTATAAAATTTACCACTTATTAGTTTTGTTTTCTTCCTGACTACTTCCAGATATGTCTAAATGAGGATGCATTTAGAATTCTGTGTAAACAAGGTGTGCAAATTATTGTTTGTATACTGCTTTTTTGCAACTTGTTCTTTGAGCAACGGAGAGAAAATAATAAAATTATTCAGTTATGGAACTAATTGACTAGATAAGAACAATTTTGGGATATGTGATTCTGGCATCAAAAGATGTGCTGGATGTTTTAATGCAGTTCTTCACAAATCAGGTGACCTGCTGTCTGAAATGTGTGAAGAGCTATGTGAGAGAAAGGGAGAAAGGTGGTACAGAGCTCTTGTTTGCTCCACAGAATTTCATATATTATTCCCACAAAAAAAAAAAAAGTTTAAAATTTGAGAGACCTTTTTCCTGAGTTTGCAGAGAATATGAAGCAATGAAAGAACAGTGTGAACTACCATTCATTTCATGGAGTTCAAGCTCCAATACAACTGATGACAATCAAATCATATTATTCAACTCCATTGTTATTTAGCAATTGATATAAGAACAGAAAAGAATGTATCATAATATGAGAGTTTACATCATCTCTCTCTGAAGTGTTTTCCTGAAAAGATAGGCACTCAAGCTTTCAGAATTTGCTCACTGCAAGATGTGAAAGGAATGAAATTAAGTCCTTTGTAAAAGACTGAATTTCACTGAATTAATTTGGCCCAAGACAAATGTTAGCAGTCAGAATACGTGAAAAGAATGCGTTTGTATTAGTTCATTTAAACATCAGTGGTGGCCATATTCAAAACTGCCTGTTGAAAGGGCCTTACCTTAACCACTGTGACACCTAACTCGTGAATGTCCAATTCAGGTATGCCTACAGGCAGCAGAGAGCCTAGCGATACCACAAACAATTTGGGTTGTTCGAGTAAGGCTCCTGCTTCTCTCCATCAGAGAGCTTAGGTGTTTTCTTGGTAGCTGCCTTCACATACAAGGAGGGAAACTGCCTAGAACCAGCTCACACAGAAGACTAAAGTAATTGTATCTGATACATAATCAAATTCAGAGCTATCCTCTGATCAACTGGAGTCTCTAAGGGTAGGCAGGTGATGATGGGAGATTTGCACTATAACCAAGGTATTTAGTGCTTGCTTCCACAATTGGAGAGCTGTGTTCAGGCTGAGTAACCTGATTCTTTTTATTACTTGTCTGTATAGTGCACAGCAACGTGGTCTTGCTCTTGGTGCTGGGTCTCTATGCACTATTCAGTGCAAACTTAAGACTCAGGGGTGGAAGAGGTCAGAGGAAAAGGGTTGGGTGACCTTAGAGAAATACAGAAAATTTCTGGTGTATGAGGACTAACAGAAGCTATGGTACCTAACAGATTAGGTTTGATTTACTCTGGAAATATTTAATAACCTGTCACTTTGGAGCTGTTTCATTTTTCCTGGCTATTAGATGATACGATTTACAATATAGAAAAAAATCCAGACTGACAACCCTAACAGACTTTCTTATATTACCTGCAAGGTCTTTGTATCTTTGTTTTTAAACTCTATTTCCCTTCTTCTGTATTCCAGCACCAAGGGAATAGTCTCAATGGAGCTCATAAAAGCAGGAAAACAGTTCAATAAATACACACTTTGAAGTGTCTTACCTGTGGACACAAAATGATCCAAGACTTGAATTAACCTCAGTTCAGTCACAATACTGAATTGTAGCTGGTACCTAAAATGAGTCAGAGTAGCACACAAGCCTTGTCTTGTGAATATGGTTGGTCATACAAAAGCCCACCATTCAGGACACAAAACATCTCTTGACGTGACTTTTGAGGGATTGTGTTGGTTTTTTATTGAGTATGTAAGTAGTGAAATGGGATGGAAAAAGGGATACCTCTTTCTTTCATATTTCAGATAGTCAACCACAGAGCAGAAAACAAAAACCATTTTCTATTTATCTGAATGTCATTCTTTCTCCCCCCCCCAATCCTGGCTTTCCTCACTTGCTCTAATACTTCTCCTGAGCAGTACTATGAATGCAAACCACTCTCTTGACTCAGCATATCTCCAAAGTGTCGAGTTTCTCCTCCCAAAAGCCCCAACCTGTTCTGTAATCTTTGCAAGCTGATGTTCCCGGGTCCCTCTTCTGTGCCAGCATGCATCAGGATTCCTCAGTACAAAGGAGCATCCCACGTAGCACTCTCCCACTGAATACACGTAACTGCCAATCAGTGTTCTACTTCTTCCTAATTTGCAGGTAAATTTGGAGAGTCTTACGTGTTTGTTAACTAGGACAGAAAGGAGATGAGAAGGAGCATGTGCAGGAAGCTCTACTTCAGTGGAGCTTAATTTTATTTTCATGCAAGATTCTCTATTGTTTGCACTGTGACTTGACTTGTTTACTCGTTGCCTGTAGTCTGCATCTCAGCAGGTACTCCAGTACTCCAGAGTACTGCTAAATGGCAGTCCTTTTGGATTTCTTGCAGTCTATTATGATGTAATGTCTGAATCAAGGCCTGTGCTGTCCCTAAAAGTCCAAAGAATCAGTAAGTAATGTAAAAAACAATCATAACCTGGGAAAGCCATTTCACTGAGACTTAGCTTGCAACCCCTAGCATCCCTAAATGTGGCTTATCAACAGTTTTAATTATCAGAGACTAAGCTTTTCTCTCCCTTTTTCCTCGACAAATGAAGTTATCATATTTTTCTAAAGTAATGAGTCTGGCAAGCTGAGGTGTTACAGCAAAGACTAAAGATCAGGATTTGTGTTGTAGATGTATTTAGGAAGCGGTTAAACTATAGGGTGTTTTTTGTTGTTGGGTTTTTTTATCGTTTTTAGTGTGCATTTCTAGTCAGAAGAAAAATGTTAACAAAGATGATGTTTTGTGATACAAACAGAGCCGGGTTTTGCAGATCAGAGAACCTATCAACTATGCTACATTTGCAGCTTGATTTTACTAGGAAATCAGCTGTCTGTCTATGTGCTTGATGCTGGTATCCAACTATTAAGATCTTTCTTCATATCTGTTTCCCTTCCCATTGCAAAAACAATATAATCATTCTAGTTTTATTTTTTAAAATTTATTTCCATGCATAGTTCTTAATAATTAGTTGATATAGGAGACCCATTTGGAAAGGACACTGTTTCTAAAACAGCATGCCAGAATGTTTATATGGCCTTAGGCTGCAGGAAACAGAGGATGGATGAATATCCTGCAGTTGTTTTGGCTATTATATTGTGGATGGCAGGTTGCCAGTAGCAACTGCAGCAGAGTGTCAGTGTCTTCCTCTGTATGATAAAACAGAGAATATTTGCACTTTCTGAACCACTTCAGGGAGGATTTGTGGCAGTTTGGAGGACTTGAAGTGACAAGAGATGGAAGTAGATGAGCTGCTTGCAGGTTGTATGCCAACCTGTCCTTCTGTTGGTTCCTCCAGGCCTGGCACCACTGACGCTTTTTTTGCCCTTCCTTCTAGAACATTTAAAAGAGAAGCTGGAGGAATACATGGTCCGTTTTGCCAAAGTGAGGATTGTACGAACCAAGAAACGAGAAGGGCTCATTCGAACCAGACTGCTAGGAGCCTCACTGGCTAGAGGAGAAGTCTTGACATTTCTGGATTCCCATTGCGAAGTCAACGTGAATTGGCTGCCTCCCTTGCTTAGTAAGTGTATGAGCATTCATCAGACATTAAAATTAGAACATAGAGCAAGCAATTGAAGCTGTGTCCCACAATAAGCAGGACATACGCTGTATCAAAGTGTTTGAAGTTCTGCTGCAGTGTCTGAAGTGCCATCATGAGAGAGAACTCTGAGAAGTGTAAGCAGCTCCATTTTGTTTCTTATGACTAAAGAATTAGTAAAATTTTGAAGTATTACTTTGACCTAATATAGTTACAATTTGTTTTATTATTAATACTACGAAACACACTACTAAATCTAGTATTACGCTATGTCCTTATTATATACCAGGAAAGTTTTCTTATGTAGGTATTGTACTCCTTCCTAGTCTTCCACATTTCATTAAAACAGTTTTTACTGTAAATGTATCCAAGGCCATAGTGTTAAACCCAGTAGCAACTGCATTCACAACAGGAAGCTCAGAAAGAATGATATGCTATTGACTGCTTTGCTGGATTCCAGCTGCAGCCCACAAAGCTCCATTAGTCAAAGGAATGGAAAGAATCAATTGTAGCCTAGGATTTCACTTCAGGAAACAATATCCGCTTTTCTGCACACCTGACTACATGCAAAGTGTATATGTAAAGTGAGTGCTTCTTTTGCTACCGTAACCAAAGAAATTTTCTGAGTTTCCTATTAAAGAAATTTGTATTAATTAAAACAGTGGAGAACAGGTTATGGTTTCACCAATTAATGGTTATTATTTCTTGAATTTTGTTGTTTGGACTGTTGGGCCACACAGTAAGCTGATAAAGCATTTGCAGGCAAGATGTGCTGTTCTACTAATGAACTATCACTAGAGACCAAAAAAATACTAGTTTCTCTTCAGATCTATAACAAGATAATGCACAAAATTCTAAATTTTTATACTTTCTAGTTTCTGTATCAAATTATGCATAGTCTTTCCTCTTGTTACCCCTTTGCCCTTAGTCACAGCATCTGCATTTTTAAAAATAACCTCCATGACTTCATGTGAACCACAAATGGTATAGAGGAGCAGTAAAAAATACAAGTTTCAACAAGCCTTCAACAAGCAGCCCCAACAAGTAGCTGTTAAACCCTCCAGAACACTCTATATATACAGTCGCCTTTCCTTTGTTTTCTGTTTTTGCCCCACTTCTCATAATACATTGCCAGAAATTAAAAAAATCTCAAGAAGTTTCTCACTCTTGTTGTCCGAAGTCTTTTGCTAAGTTACAGCAGTAACCCTTCTATTTTGCAAATTTTAACATGAGAAAATTGCAAGTTGCAAAAACAGTTCCTTTTCTTGCTTTCTTCTCTGAAATGAGTCATAGAATCATTAAGATTGGAAAAGACCTGCAAGATCATCGAGTCCAACCTTTCACCTGATACCACCACGTCCACTAACAATATCATGAAGTGCCAAGTCCACAAATTTTTTGAACACTTTCAGGGATGTTGAGCCCATCACTTCCCTGGGTTACCTGTTCTGATGCTTAACTAGTGAAGAAATTTTTCCTAATATCCAATCTGAACCTCCCCTGGTGCAACTTGAGGCCATTTCCCCTTGTCCTATCACTAGTTGCCTGGGAAAAGAGACTGACCCCCACCTCATCACAACCTATTTTCAAGTAGTTATAAAGGGTAATAAGGTCTCCTCTAAGTCTCCTTTTGTCCAGGCTGAACAACCCTAGTACTCTCAGCCACTTCTCAGCAGACCTGTGCTCCAGACCTTTTACCAGATTTGCTGACCTTCTGGACTCTCTCCAGCACCTCAATGTCTTTCCTGTAGTGAGGAGTCCAAAACTGAACACAGGACTTGAGGTGCAGCCTCACCAGTGCCCAGTACAGGAGTGTGATCGCTGCCCTGGTCCTGCTGACCATACTTTGCTGATATAGGCCAGGATGCCATTGGCCTTCTTGACCATCTGGGCACTGCTGGCTCATGTTCAGCCACCTGTCAGCCAGCACCCCTGGGTCCTTGTCCTCTGGGCAGCTTTCCAGCTATGCATCCACAAGCCTGTAGCACTGCATGGAGTTGTTGTGACCCCCGGGCCTCAGCTCATTGATCCAGCCTGTCCAGATCCCTCTGCAGAGCCTTCCTACCTTCCAGCATATTGACACTCTCACCCATCTTGGTGTCATCTGCAAACTGACTAAGGTTGCACTTGATCCCCTCATCTAGATCATTGATAAAAATGTTAAACAGAAGTGGCCCCAGTACTGAGCCCTGGAGAACATCACTTGTGACCACTACAAGCTGAATTTAACTCCATTCACCACCACTCTCTGGGCCTGGCCATCCAGCCAGTTTTTTACCCAGTGAAGAGTGCACCTGTCTAAACTGCCAGCTTCTCCAGGAGAATGCTGTGGGAGACAGTATCAAGGGCTTTACTGAAGTCCAGGTAGACAACATCCACAGCCTTTCACTCGTCCACTAGTCAGGTCATCTGCTTTTAGGAGGAGATAGGTTAGTCAGGCAAGACCAGACTTTCATAAACCCATGCTGGCTGGGCCTGGTCCTCTGGTTGTCCTGCACATGCGTTATCTCACTCCAGATAGTGTATTCCATACATCTAGCCAGGTTTCACCCTATAAAAATGGAAAAATAATAGAATGGTGGCACAGGATTCATAATTGCAGTTAGGTTGCGGTTGGGTATTCAACCCTTGTCCTCAAACCATAAAACTGGAAAGATGAGAGAAACTTCATCAGTGACAAAGTCCTTAGTTCTCAAGTGGAATGACATCTTTCTCATTCCACGTGTAGTAGAATAGCCATAGATAACCAACCAGCCAGAGGATCTAGAAATGAATCTTGAGGAATACTGAGATATTTTGAAAGAAAAAGTAGAACATAACATGAAGAAGGACAAATAGAGAATGAACACACATTTAGTATATTTAAGGATGCCCTGTTTTCCTAAAGGGATGAGAGAACTTTCTTATAAACATTAGATGGCGAATATTTACTATACTGAAATCAGATGACACCTGGCTTCTAATAATAGTAAAGTTAATGTATGATTTCAAGTGTTTATCTGAAGATCTATCTTATGATTCACTCAGCACTGCATGTGACTGAAAGTCATTCAGGGAAACCACAACAGAGGATATGTTGGGTGTTTATTGCTTTGAAGCCGACCTACTTTAGCTCTGATTGTTTCTGCCGTGTGTAGTGAAAAATTCTCAACAAGTTCAGCCCTGCTCTGAACTGGCAGCCTTCACTGAGAGGGGCAGTAGTTTCCGCTGTTCCAGCCCAGATTTTGTTCAAAACAAGACCTTGAAAGAGGACAAGGGGGGTGGTGAAGAAACTGAGAGCAATCACTTAAAGATGGTTCTTACAGTTATTTAGGTATCTAATTTATATTTTCAGAATTGACTATCAGCTTTTAGACCAAAGGAAAACTGAGTTAATTTATTACTTGTAGGGTGTCTAATTGGCTTTGTAGAGCTGAGCCACAGTTGTTTGCAGTTACAGTCCTTTGTTTTGCTTTCTTAAAAACTGGTGTAAAATGGCTTTATTTTCTTTAAGCTTTATTTAGTTTATTTAGCTTAAAAGGGCTGTTAAACTTAGATAAGACACTCTGAGATACCAGATAGTTTTGACTCATATTCACTGAGTAGGCAGCTGCAGTGATGTAAAAAGGTTGGCAAATACAGCTGTTTGTTGTTGCTCCTTGGTGGTATAAAGTCAGCAGAAGGAAAGGTGTAACTTGGGCTCTATCTGCTGTAGTTGGCAGTTTAGTGCAGTGTGAAGTCACAGTTATTGCAGATAAGAAGCTGAATGGCAAACCAACTGAAAGGTGCAGGCACATATTTCCTTCTGCTGGTGTTGCTGCAGGAGAAGTAAGCGGAGAGATGGGCAATAGATCGGTAGTCCCACAGGGTACCAGAACTAGGTTTGTTAAAATGTGCTTTTTCCTGACCAAGAATTAAAAATGTATCATGATTAGATTATGCTTAGCAAGTTATCAAAACACTCACTCACTATAGCCATCCATCTCCACAACATGTATATGATGTATTGCTTGTCAGTGGGGAAACTGAGGATACAAGTACTTATGACAACTCAGACATAATTTGCTGAACCACTCAAATGTTTTCGCTATCTGTAATCTCATATTTAAGTAGGACAATAATAGTATTTGCATTGAAAAATTGCAAAAATAAGAGTATTTGCAACTTGGCATTGTTACTTTATCCAGGTCAATTTGAAACAACCACTTGACATTAAAGGGATGCATCTTTCTCATAAAGATAAAACCTACTGAAATAGTGACTCATCCAATATTGAAAACTTCTTGTTTATTGCCATGTATGCACACTCTGTTTGATACTGAAAGTATGGAATTCAAATACGTATGTATATATTGCTTAAAATTGCTAGGGAGAAAGCTCTGAGCAATGTTCTCTCTTGTTCCCAGGCTTTCCCTCAAGTCTGCAAGATTTTTGCATGTACAGTGGTGCTTATCTGTCTGTTCTTCCCTTTAACTGCAGCATAGATGCATAGAAACAATGCATGGATATTTTCAGACCAGTAGGAACTAGTGAGAGGATGATGAATAAAGGCAATGGAAAAGAAATTGTGAAGCATTTACGCAGTGTCTTTGGGTGTCTTGCATTAGGAGCAGGTGGGGTAAAGAGCAGCAGCTGACAAAGGCAGCAGCATGTTTACATCTCTAAAGCTATGATACCAGAATGGTGGCACACTTGTGAAATGTAAGCTAGCCCTACAGACTTTGTTTCCTAAATTCTTATTCATGCTACATTTAAGCCAAAGTAGTATATATGCAAAATGCATTATTTTAGGCATATGAAAGAAACATTGAGGCTGCAACTTTGGTTACTCTGCTTTTTGGTGTGCACAACTAAACACCCTGGTTTCATCAAAAGTCAAGATCTTCCCATGGTTCCTCATCTCTAAAACATTTTGGGGACTGAGAAGTAAGTTTGCAGAAATACACAAAAGCAGGCAGGTAAGCATCATCATACTTGCAAAATTCTTGAGAGTTGCAAAATGAAGACTGTATTGAGTTTGAGCATTGCTCAAATAAATTTCTCCCTGATTATCTCTGCATGTGACTTGGAGACTTCAAATCCCTCAGTGTGTTTAAAGACAGCAGCTTTTAAAGATGAAGAGAGGGATGCTAAAGCGTTATGAGTCTACCTTTGACCTGCTCCAGCCAAATCAATCCCACTTAGTTTCTCTCCTCCAATCAGTTTAGAAGAGGGGGAACAGAGACAGACTGTTATGAGTCTTACAACTATTAGCAGGACCATCACCGGAAAGAGACTATGTAGAAGTGACTTTATGTAATGATCACAGATAACACTACACAGTATACTAGTGAATGTAATTATATTTGGAATAGCAACAGTAATGCAGCCATTATCTCTGAGATGAGTTTCCTAGAATTTTGTGAGAGCCTGTGCTTTAAATTTATTTCGCTATTAAAGGATAAGGATGTAAAAACCTGCTGAACTTCCAGTCACGGTAATTTCTCACTAGCAGTCAGCATTGATCCCTTATTTGGACAGCCTCTTAACAGCAACTTAGAATAAATATAAAAACTCAGATGCTTTGCTAAAATAACCTTTTTTTCTTAATTTCAGTCCCTCAGAAGCAAGGAAGAAGAATCTGTATTATTAATCATTACACGAGTATTGGTGTACACCTGACTGGTGTACACCTTCCTATCTAAGTGTTCCATCCATACTGAGCCCTCTGCTTATTTTTAGGGTATTATCAAGCACCAGTGAAATCTAAGCCTTAAAAACAAAAACCAAGTTTTCCACATAGGCCCTAACATATACTAAATAATTTAAAGGATCTAGGCTGCCATTCAGAGAAAAAGCTTTATTATACTTGGAATTTTGAGATTTTAGTTTTTTCAGGGGATTGTAGGTAATTTTTCTACTGTCCTTTCATATCAATCCTTTCGGATTTTCTCTGTACTTCCTAATTTCAAGCTATTCTTCTGCCTAGTTCTTGCAGTTGGCGTATCTTATTTTTTTGCCTTTTTTTTTGGAGGAGTTCTATAGGATTGAACAATAGGATTCACCAAAGCAGACTGAAGACCACCTTGAGTTTATACTAGACATGGGAATTTTATTTAGCCTCACAGTTCTAACATTTTTTTGCTTTAAAAAAAAAGCAAACCCAAACTGCTTTCTTTAGAAAGCAGGTAAGAATAATACTGTGGAGCCTTCTCATGTCTCAAAGATTGGTACAAGAAAAGGACACAAGCTCTGTTTTGCTCTTCATGTTGGAGTTTGCCTTTAATTTAGAGCATTTGATCTCAAAGCTGATGCACACTACAGCCGTAGGAACAGTGGCTGAATGGTTGCAAGTGCTGAGATTCACATTTAGGAACGCAAATCCCTCTTGCAGGAGCTTGCCATACACACTCCTCACAGCTGAAGGAGTATTTTTACAGTTTACTTGCTGGTTTGTTTCATAGCTGACAGATTGGGGACAGCTCAGAGTAGCAAAGTGACAGAGATATACATGACTGGACTCATGTGGGTCTCACAGGGATATGCCTCCCTTTAAAGAACTGTAAATACTTCTAATCATTTCCCAACTGCATTAATTCCACTTTAGATAAAAGTTTGATACAGATTTGAAAATGAAATTATTTGGGGGGCCATAGGGCACAAAGCAAGCAATCTTCAAACATCAGAAACCCGTGGGATTCACTTCGCAGTAATATGATAGATGGCCTGACTAGACATGCCGTTTCCTATTTTCTACTTTCATTTTTCAGACCAGATTGCACTTAACCACAAAACCATCGTGTGTCCTATGATCGATGTCATTGACCACAATCACTTTGGCTACGAGGCACAGGCGGGGGATGCCATGCGAGGAGCTTTTGACTGGGAAATGTACTACAAAAGAATACCGATTCCTCCAGAGCTCCAGAGAGCTGATCCCAGCGACCCTTTTGAGTAAGTAGTGATAAAGGGGAGGGGGAAACATGAAGAAGAGCAAGGAGAAAAGGTAACTGTAGCAGAATGGAAGCCCAGATATTTCCATGTAGGCCACTTCCTACTAGTGAAAGGTAGTAGAATTAAACAGCTTCTATACAGGTTTATCCCAAAGCTTCATTCACGAGGCCTAGCCACGATGATGATGATACAGGTTTATAAAACCTCAAAACTAGGAAAAAGATCAGGGCAACAATTTGCAAAATTCACAAACTGTGCCTGGAAACACAACCTAGCTCAGTGGTTATAAATAAAAGAAACAGGCACATACTTGTAGTTCACTTATTGGCATTGGACAAGAAGTGAATGCGATTACGGGCATTCTGTTTATTCCGCAGAAGACTTCCTGAACAGACTTTGTTTAATGTTTCATTTGCTGAAGGTTGATGCAATATACGCATCAGTAGTTGAGTCCACATTATGCCAGTAGATGCTTTGTTTATAACTGATGTTTATAACTACTGTGTATATTGCTGTAACTTATACACAGAGCTCTCAAACCTGAACAGTCTCAAGATGATTCGTAAATAGTTTTAGATAAGCCAGACTCTAATCCCAGTATTGTACAGATCAGTTAATTCACAGGAATGATCTCCTACTTTTCACAAAGGTAGTTCATTTTTTCTTATATTTTCTTTTAATGTTCTCATGTAAGGATCATCTAGGATTAATGTGCATCAACAGAGAAAGGACAGACAGACAGACATGGTTCAAGTCTCTCACACAGCCGCATTCCAGCAGTGCTGGCAACGGAGGGGGCTCTGATGCTTTAGCCCTGGCTGAAACTCCACACTGTGGGTTTTGGCAGTTTAAAAACTCAGCATTTTCCCCTTCCCAAAGCAAAACCTGGAAACAATAGCAACAGAAAACCTATGTCTCTGACCCAGACTCTGCACTATCTTGAAGTAATAGATCTAATTCATGCAGAAATTTACCCTAATATCCAGGAACTGAGCAGCTCTGTATAGGGAAGAGTAGGTAATTGTGATATTTGTGGGCTTATTTTCATTATTCTACTTGTTCCTTTTTACTTATCTCCATCCAGGCCTCTCAGTCTTCATCTTGTATTAATGTAAGTGCTGACGAAGTACTTTTCTTCAGCTGCTAATGTGACCACTCCACAACATAGATGCAGCTATTGCAATCACATACATAACATTCCAGAGTTACCAGAGCCTCTACTGCTCTTCCACGAGTCTTCTTGGTCCTCTGAGCAGTTGTAATTTCTTGACACTTACTGAAGGTCACCTAGGACATTGTATAATTTGGTTCAGCATTCAAAGTTTGTGTATAAGTAGAAGTTCTATATTGCCATGTGGGGCAATATGGAGTTGCTTATCAGCCATTTTACACATTTGTAATATGCATCTCTCAAATGCAAGAGAGGCCAGAAAAGGAGGCGCTCTTAGGAAACTTTCTAGAAAGATGAGGCTTTCTGCAGTACAGAATAGATGTGGTGGTTTTGCACGAACTGCTGTTCCAATCAGTATGGCAGCAGTTGATACCCACCTTGCCCTGACATTATTCATAACACATGGGCAGATAAATGGGTTCACAAGGAACAAGATATAGGACAATGCAGCCTATAAATCCCTTGTAATCTGAGTACTTGTTAGGTGGAAAGACTTCCCAGTTCTTACACAAATCAGTGAGAGTCTTCCTTTGTTTTCGCTGTCACAGGATCTGCATCAGAGCGATGCAGGAGGCAAAGCAGCATTGCACATGGAACCACCATGTCTGTCCCCTCACATGCCAGCAGGACTGGAGACTGGCTGAGCTAGGACAATATGCTTGCTTTAAAGTACCCTCTGCCTAGAATGGCAAGGGAATGGAAGTGGTTTAAATAATCAGTATGAATTTTGCTTAGGGGAGAAATTATTTTCTAATTTGAAGTCAGTACTGCTTTTCTCCTAGGGCCTTCTCTGCTGAGACCTCAAGCTTTTAATACCTTGCTTACAACAAATACAGTAAATGTTACAAACCATTTTAGCTATCAGTAACTTAATTGACCAAGACAGCTTCTATGGAATTAAAGAGACAGAACAGTTTTCCCTTAGAAACATATACATTAAAACTAGAAATTACTTCAGCCAGCTTCAGCCATAATTATTATGTTACTATTTTCCAAGCAGTAGGGATTTTATTTTTTTTTTTAATTTAGGTTAAATGTTTTACTATTGGCATCCTAATAGCTTTATTTCTTGCCAGCAGAGCCAGATCTGAGATGAACCTTAATGAACTGGAAAATTGCCAGCATTTTTAGTAAAACACCAGCAAATAATGGATACATGATCCAAAAATTTTGCTGATGACTTTTTCCCCTCACTTAAAATGCCAATGCAGTATATGTGCGAAGCAGAAAAGGTCACATCAACCTAAAAAATAATGTACATAAAACCAGATCAAGGTACAGAAAACCTAAGAACAGTTGTTGTATTATCTGTATGGTACACTTGCTTTCCATCTGCACATGATCAAAATACTGCTGCAGCAGACATCAGCAGCATGTTTGCAGTTGACTCAGCCAACTGAAATGTTGTCAGGTAGGCTTTTGGTGTGACAGTAGCATGGAGCTTACTAAGCTACAATGCCAGCTGAGCTAGTGTTTCTGGAATTAATCTTTTCCCACTTTTTAAGGTCTTTTTAATTGTGTTCCATGGTGCTCAGTGCTTGATGTTCTCTTATTGGATGCCATCTATCTAAACCCAGTCTTTCAGTTTAGAATCCCTCTTGTGAAGAAGACATATCCCCATCCATTTGTTGTGTGAGTGTAGTCATGGTTTATTGTTCCTATACCTGCGGTTCTACTGGGGCAGCATCTCCGCCTTTCGCTGTGACAGAATTTGGAGCTTCATCTTGGCTTTTCCTGATGTACAGTCTCACCCTTTCTCAGACGCTCTGCAGTTGTTCACAACAAGTAGCTTTGCAGCAAGTTATGGCTTGATGTTTATGACTTTAGGTAAAACACTCTCAAAATCTTCCAGTGTCAAATTCAGGTAGAGATGATGTACTAACACCAACCTGGGATCATGTGACAAATTTGAAATTTGGGGTTGGATCAGGCTTCATTAATCCATAAATTTTATCAGTTTGGTTCATGTGTACTTTGTCGCTGGCCATGCCAAGTTTCCCATAGGTTTCACTGAACCAAACTACAGACATGTAAAATGTATTTTCAATCAAAGCTCTCTTGTTAATTATTGGATATTGTTCTATGTTCATTTGCAGCATTTAGGAAAGTTTAACATTATTCCAAAAATGAATCTTATGTAGCTTTTAAGATAGCTACTTCTCTGAAAGATCTCTGCAGCTATTTTTCAGGATACACTGAATTTTTAGGTGCATGGAAACTGGACTTTGCCCCTTATAATATTGTCTTCTCATCCAGAGACTAAATCTCTCAACTCCTTGATTTCCCTTTTTCATGTGCCAAGAAACAACAGAAGTTTTATATTGTTTTATATTCAACTGATCTGTCACAGTTGCAGCTCATCACAGTGACTGCAGTGATTTTTCTCTTGCAATTCATATACAACTACCCTAATACACTTTGAAGGGGACTTCATGCTATTTTCTTGTGATTCATTTAAGGTTGTGTAAATGACATAAGACAAATTGGTGTTCTGATGTATGACAGGAAATTGTCAGATAATTGTGAAATCCTCATCATGTCATGGTGATGTGCACTGTCTTTATCCCAGAGTCAGTGATCATTCAGCAGAATTGGAGATGACTTCGGGAATTTTCTTCTAGTCTATTAGCAAGGGAGGACCAGAGATAAACATTTGCCTTTGTGGCAAAGGTCACCTTGGCCTATTATCTCTTGCTGGTTTGTTCCTCTGTCATGGCAGAGGTTTGAGAGTATGCCCTTACAGGACACGCAGATTTGGGACATAAGAGCATGCTCTTCTGTGGCTGTTTCTTTCTGTGATGCAAGCACCCTGGTGTCAGGAGGAGTTTGCCTAACCCAAGCGATCACCACTTAAACTAATAGGGCAACTTTGTTACTTTGGTGGACTGTGATATACAGCATGTCAGTTTATGTGATTTAGTAGCCTGTCTGGGCTAAAAGCTCTTTGGAAGGTTAAAGCAGAGGTTTGATATGCTGAAGCCTGCTGGGGATGACTGCTCTTTATTTCCTGGCAGCACTTACATTACATCAATTCATGTTATCACATGCCTGATCTGTAAACCAGCATCAGTGTCCATTCATGCCAGCAGAAACATATTTTTAAACAGACAAGAAAACATCAATTCAATTCAAAAAACTATTTGGAAAATCCACAAACTAATCGAGAAGATTAACATAGCACAGATCAATTAGGGTATAAATGGGCTTCACAGCTCCTTGGAGCAGTTTTATGATAGTGTAACTTTATGATGCAGGAGGGAAGGAAAGGTGCAGGTGAGACCTAACAACATTGCATTGCAACTCAGATGGAAATTCTGACCAATGAGAGAAGTGTTATGCTACTTTCTGGATGCCAAGACTTTTAGCATCTACCTGAGAAAGTTAGAAGTGTTTTGGTGTATGACCACTCCTTACTCTTCAAGAGTTCTTTGTTTGCCTTCCGGTGTAGAGCTGTGATCTCCAGCCCTCCCTGAGGGCAGACAAAGCCGAAGAGTCGTGTAATTCTAGCAAAGGACCAGGACAATAGTTTTGCAAATATGAGCTTATTCAAGTAAGTAGAAACAACTTTGTAACGTCCATTTATAAAACAGAACTAGAATCACTCCACCATCACAAGGCTCTCACAGTAATAAGGACCACTTATATTTAATGGATGTACTTTTGGGTAAAATTTTGGACGTACTCAAGAGATGAAACTGGGTGATCAGTACGTTTCTTTTCTCTTGCATCACAGGCTCTCAACCTTGAATGTAATGTAGGACCTTAATGTAGTCAGTTCTGTGTAAGATTGGAAGGTTACTTGGCATTTTCTGTTGAATTGTGTATCTAG